AGTGTGCCCTGGCAGCCAATAGGGCCAACCGTGTCCTGGGGTGCATCAAGCACGGCATTGTGAGTTGGTCGAGGGAGGCGATTGTCCTACTCTGCTCTGCACTGGTGCAGCCTCACCTCAAGTACTGGGTGCAGCTTTGGGCACCACAGTATAAAAAGGACATAAAGCTACCGCAGAGTATACAGAGAAGGGCCACAAAATTGGTGAAGGGCTTAGAGGGGAAGCCATATGAGGAGAGGCTGAAATCTCTTGGTTTGTTCAGCCTGGAGAAGAGGAGACCTTATCGCAGTCTATAACTCCCTCACAAGCAGAAGGTGCTGATCTCTTCTCTCTGGTGGCCAAGGATAAGACCAGGGGAAATGGCAGGAAGATGTGCCAGGGCAAGTTTAGGTTGGACATTAGTAAAAGGTTCTTCACGCAGAGGGTGGTGGAGCACTGGAATAGGCTCCCCAGGGAGGTAGTCATGACACCAAGCCTGACAATATTCAAGAAGCATTTGGATAACGCCCTCAGACACATGGTCTGAATCTTGGGATTGCCCTATGCTAGGGCAAGAGTTAGACTTGATGATCCTTGTGGGTCCCTTCCAACTCACAACATCCTATGATTCTTTATTTCTTCACAGAGGTAGCTGAAAACTTCTCAGTCCATGTGGCCATCTTGATTCCTCATCTATATTGGCCCAGGATGGCTCAAGTTTAGATGCTCAGAGTTTTGGAAACTCCCCATCCAAAGGGGTTAACTTTTACCATCTTCTCCCTTTGAAACTGCAGGTCATATACAGCTCACCTATCTCCCAGTGCAACAGTTGGAGTAAAAGTCAGGGTCCTGACCCTGTTGTTATGCCCTACAACCAGAGGCAAGGGGTGTGACTCCAGCCCTGACCCAAATATTTGGTCCTATAACCGAAGTCAGGGAATGCATCATCTCCCATGTGACTTGGCAAAGGAGCATGCTTTTGTCACCCCATTTACTCTTCCCCTATTCCTTGGTCTACTTGACAAAAATGTTGTCATTTTAATATCCCATTTTGCCATCCCAAAGGTGCTCCTGCCCTAGAAAGAAAGGGTGGCAGAAGGGCAGAGCTTTGCTGCTCCAGGAACAGAGGGAGAAAACAAAGCTGGCTGAGGGTGGTGACTATGCCCTGGGTGGTCACTGCAGTGGGGCCACCCCAAACACTAAGCCCTACCCTGGTAGTAGCTGGAATAAGCCTGGAATATGCCTGTCTATAGCCACTCTATAAGCGTACTGATAATGTGACCTAGTACACTCAGATGCCTTAAGACTAGCTGCCCTTTTTTTTCTTGTCTATGCTTTTTCTTGTTCTAAATCCATTTCTAGTTCTTCATTCTATGTCTTTGTCCATACTTGCTATTTATTTACTTTTCATAAAAATACTGTTTCTGAATTTGAGGCTGACTATATTTCAGATTGTGAAACTGATTTTTTTTTTTTTTTTTTGCACGCAGTTCTATCATAATTGATGACCATGGAATTTTGTGGCTTTAAATATGGTTTTGTCAAAAATAGTATCGGTAGAGTTTCTTGGTCATGTATTTTCTCTAAGTGACAGAGCAGTTTAAAAGAAGACCTCTTAATGTATTCATTTTCAGAGACACCTCAGACTGATTTCTGTTTTAGATTGGAAATATTGACAGAGATAAGTCATTCCTGCACTTTCATATTTTTGCAAACAAATATTTTCAGAAGAACTCATGACCTATTTTTGCTCAGTTCCTGAAGGCAACTAGTTATGGTTTTGTTTGAGGAGAGCAGGCAGAACAGTAGTTCACAAAACTCCTAGGTCAAAAGTTTTACAACTTCTGCTTACCTACAGCTCTTTGTCTCAATACTTCTTGTTTAGGAATTCGTTGCTTTCTGTTTTTTTTCCTCTGTTCCTTTTTTTCCTCTGTTTTTCTGAGGATAATCAAGGTCAATCCTATTAATATTTTCATGAAATACATGATTCCTGGAGCACTGCTAACTAGCTACATCTGAAGTGTTTGAGAAATTCCTAGGAGCCTAAGATTTCTGTCTGAATCAGACTTTCAATGATGCAGTTTTGGTTTGGGCCAAGACTGCCATCATTGGCGCCTTAAAGAAGGACTGAGCTTTGTTTGTTGCAAGTAGAGGCTGTTTTGAGGGATGCAGCCACTGACTGGCCTGGACACCCCTCAGATACATTCAGCTACAACTGCACTAGGAAGGTAGGAAGCCAAGGAGGGTGGTGGGGAAGACAAGTACCAGGACCTGAAATTACTCTGTTCTTATGTTGCTAATGGGGGTCTGGAAGAGGCCCAGGAGTAGGGCCTCCATCAGGAGCCACTGTATGAGACAACGCAGCAGAGCAGACATCAGAAATACCTTTCAGAGGAAGGAGCTGGTGGAAATACTTGGAAGGCAGCAGGTCCTTCTGCTGGGCAGATATCGTTTTCGCCTTCACTTAGGGCAAAATTTCCTGCAGCACATATGTATTTTTCCTCTTCAGTAATAATTAGTCCTTTGGGTAATTTTCAGAAAACAATGTGGAAATTATAGGAAAAAATTAACTAGCAAACAGACCACCAAAAAATGCTTTGGGAGGAAACCTTGCAAGGTTAGTAGTACTGAAGGCCTTTGGGGGAAGGAAGAGGATGGGAGGATGTGCAATACATGAATGATTTTTACCAGCTAATAGAAATTAGTACACATTTCATACTTCAGCAGAATGCAGTACAGGCACAACAGAGGGCTATAAATCTGGCCACAAATATATGACAGACTATAAGCAGTAATCTTGCTATTAGGAACAGCAAATTTCGAATTTATTAAGAGAAAAAAAAAAAATTCTACCACAATGAAAAAAAGCCAAAGCACAAATCCTGAAGAGAGCTGTGCATATGCCCATACACACTTCATATTATGGTCTAGACATACACATTTTAGGATTTATTTAGCTGTGATTCAAGTAAATATAAGCATATCAAACTAAATTAAAAAGCAGACTGTTGAGAGGCAGGAAATATTCTTATGAGTAAAACCCACATATTTTTTCTCTGCACAAACATAGTAGCCTTAAGGAATATTAATTCATAGACAATTCACCTGTGCTTTCTCATCCAACATAGACCATCTAACAATCCAACCGAGTACACTTGTAGGTCACCAGTTCTCACAGCCAGTAGAAATAAGGAAGCAGTTACCATTAAAATCGTTGGAATATACAAAACATTAAGCACCAAAATGTACAAATCAGACATCTCCATGAAAGGAGCATTCACACCAACTCAAATTAATTCCAGGTCCTCTTAAATAACAAACCTTGCACTAATACTAGGAGAATAACAAATATTTACCTTTGATGCTTCTAGAAGGGTCATCTGTTCTGTAGAAACTGAGTCTAAAAATGCTCCTCAAAATAATTACTGAAGGCCTAAGCTGGTTTCTAGGGAAGACAATGAATGGCCCTCCACTTGCTCCAGCAGAGACCCTAATTGCCTGCCTCTACTAATGAACTAATCTCAGGCACCTGGAACTAGCAGGCTCCATGCCGGGCAGGCAGGGCTCAGGTTACCTAAAAAATGCTCCAAATATATTCACACAAATCACTAACCCTGCAGATGTGAAAATACTCCTTTTGTCATATTGCTTGAGAGATGGACATGTGTTTGCAGTGCTGTAGCACATAAAACCTGAAGATGAATTCATTGTGTTGCTTTAATCCCTTCCAGAGGCCAGATGGGCATTCGAGGAGCCAGAGAAGTGTGTTATCCACATTACTCATATTAATCTGCTTGTCTGTGTGACATAGAGTCTGTCAGATGCTCAAAGCATAAATATGTAGGTGGCTGGAAAAAATATATGTATTTCATTAGTGCCTGTTGTCTGTAGAATGAAACCTAATCAGGAAGTTATCCTAAAACTTTGGCTAAAACCTCAACAAGTACAAAACTTGCTGATGCCTAGAGTTTTAAAAATTTCAGTTAAAGGATCTGGAAGTCACCAGAGGATGTAAGCAAGCCTCAGTATAAGCTTTGTGAGACAAACTACTGCACTTTTGACAAATTTTAAAAGGTTTTCACAGGCAAAGGATTTTCTGTGACCTTAGAAATTAGAGCAGGTGTCATGCAGCTTTCCATCCAACCATCCACAAATTTCTTCTCCTTCCCTGAACTGATTATGCTGAGAAACATGTGTCAGATTCTAGGTATGTGTCTGGTTTCATTTGATGGGGGAAGAATGATAGAAATAAAACACACTTTAGCAGGAAAATACAAGAGAGCAAGAACAGGCTCTCTTCTTGGTCTTTGACAAATTACTCAAATATATGGCTGGCTGGCTCATAGGTGATGTTCACACAGGTTGATTAGCATTAAAAAATTTGTTCATATGCCTTAAAAATAGTGTTATTTATATTACTCACATAGACACACAAACACCTAATCTTTCTATAAGCAAAGGTAGGAACATCTTCCTGAATTATCTACATTTTGCAGTGTTCTAGTCTTTGCTTTTTTTCTTCTTCAAGATACCACAATAAAAACCAAACCAAAGCAAACAAAAAAAAACCCCCTACTTAAAGTGACTTTTTCAGGTCAGAGACCTGGCTAGATTAGATTTTATGTATTGATTGAATGTCAAACTTACAGCTTCACTGAAAAACATTGTGCAGACATTGCACCAGTGAAGCTCAGTTCTGAAAGTAAAAGGCAGGCAAAGCAGCTTTAAAGGCTTGGATCTCAGAGTTTTCTGGCACAGAGGAAAGTCCAAAAAGAGACATTTGTACACAGTATGCATCCCCCCTCACTGACAGTTGAATTTACAACATTGCATATATTTAAATACTACTTTTTAATGTAGACTGCCAGAATACACTGAGTCACCCTTAATAGCTTGAAGAGCATTCCAATTTTGTCTTCTGTACTCTAGTATTAATTAGCATAGTTAGTGTGAACACTGAAAGATAGTATCAATCCCTTTTAATCTAAGAACTACAGAGATACCAGCTATTAATTAATGCAATGAATGCAACCTATGAGGCTGAAAAGAGCAGCAGAAATAACAACCTTTCTACTGATTTCGTGTATGGCAGTAAAGCTCTGTGTGAAGAAGGAATCCTGCAGGTAGGAGCCTGGCTTCTTCCAAACTGCTCAGCTAGCTTTCACACTTTGGAAGAGTAGGCAGGTGATGGTGAACACATCAGCATCAGACAGATAGTGTGGCTGTCACCACTTGACCCTAGGGTGCAGGGAGCAATCGTGCCGCAGACAGCAAAATACCTCCTGTGCCTTCTCTACTGAGCACTATGACAGCACTGAGGAAAGTAAATCCTAAATCCTCACCAAGGAGTTGATCTGTTCTCCATTGTCAAAATACTCAGTGCAACAGTATCCATGCGTTCTTCATTTCTCCTCTCCAGTCACACTCACCCCCGACAAAGATTGCAAAAGATATGTTTGTCTAGGAGCATAAAAAATATCTCCTCTGAAAATTTATTATAATTAAAATCATTAGTGAAACTAAGTAAAAGCAAAGCACTTTAGGCATTTCAGGAAAGAATTCCTTAATGTTAAACTAAAAACCTGTTCAGATATATACCTCCAGATATTTCCTGGAATATATAACACCATCCTGTTATCATACATTAAAAAAGCAATAGGAAAAGTTGGGGATTATATTTAAAGAAAGGGAAATAGTTCAATGACCCCAAACCAAGACACTTCTTGTAAAACCTCTTTTTGCTTACTCGTATTTTCCTTCTTTATTTAGTCACTTATGACAAGGTCCCAGGTGATTCACCCTTCCCATGACCTTATGCCTTTTCACTGAAGTGGTGACCCTACATATTAATGTGGGTTTTGAGGCTGCTTTTTAAAGCATTTGTTCTCATTTCTGCTGTTAATGATGATCACTTGTTTTCTTAAAGGCCTCTTTTTTTACATGCAGTGTAGACATTCTCATTTCCCATGAGCTGTGGATACATTCTGCAGCGTGCAAGGGGCTGGGGTACTCCTGGGTACTCTCACCTGCCCTCTCACACAGCCTGAACTCTGCTTCATCTCTCCGAGCACCCAGTAATACCTCCTTGGCCAGGTCAGGCCTCTGAGCTGCTGTCCCAAACAACAGCATACAACACTGCTAATTGTTACTGGGTTAAAAAGAAAAAAAGTCATATATACCATATACATATATATATATATATACACACACCCCTGTATATATATATATATGTAAAAATGCAAAGCTGAGAGGAGGACAAAGAGTCTGTAGTTCTAACATGGAAATACGAATGTCAACCAAATTTATATTGCAAAGTGGTTTGGAAATCTCTCTCTTACATTCCCTTTCCGTTGAGATTCTAGGACTATATGCATAAAAACAGAAAGAAAAAGTCTTGGGAAGCAATTCTACTCCATGGAGTGAGTGAATGCCAAGATTTCTACTTACTTCAGCAAGATTCCAGCTTTTGTCATGTCGGCAAAAGTCACCATCTGTTGACAAACAAAATAGAGGATGAAATCTAGCTGTCTGCTCTGTCTCAGTCTTCTCACACCTGACTACCTTTCCTGAAGTGTTGGCACTGCCTACAGCCAGCAGCAGTTATGACAAAAAAAGATCGTCCCTAAGTGGGATCTCGTAACAATTCCTGAATTTATAAATGATTTTTTAAAACATATGAATTGTTCCTGTTTTCCAGGGAGCCTGGTAACTGAGTCCTCTGTAGAAACATGGCTCACAGTTGCTCAGTGAATTTGGTATTGAGTAGAAAGGACACTGCTTTTCACTTTCAGTGCTATAGGAAGATTGTATTTTTATTTGTGTAGGGTCATAAAATATGTATTCTAACATCATATTATGTATTCAATATATTACAAAATGTTTGTCTTTTATAAGCCTCTGCATATGAAGCCATCTTTTCCTCTGTCAGGGAGAACTGACAGGTTGCCTACCATCACCTACTCTCCAGCAAAGTCAGCAGCCCACACTGTCAGTGTGAAAACATCTGTTGAATGGATTTATTGACTAGGTCTTAGGTGCGAGTTGTTTTTTTTTTTTTTTTTCCCACACTGTTTGTTACAGCCCTGACCTAATGAACTTCATTTGTTGACATGTTTCCCTCAGTGTCTTACTTGATCCCATCTCACATTTCTTTTTACTGTGCTGTTTTCTTGGAAACAGGAGTTCCTGGCACATCAGCGTGTCCACCAGTTGCAAATCTACCAGGCTCAGATGGCTACAGTTGGCATAGCAGGATTAGATAAACATCATCCGGTGTCCAGGACCCCGTCTTCCCCCACTGATTCCACATTACCTCATCCAGACGTGGACCAGCCCAGCCAGCATGTCTACACGACTGGTAGGAATCCCTAAAGACTGCTTTTAATAGGCAGGGCAAATACGTTTGTTCATGTAGGATCAACAGCTTTACATGCCTCAAATACCTCCTGCAGCAGTGCATTCAGTTTTAGACTTACTGTTCCTCAGTTTTATGATGTTATACTGGCATCAAGTCAACCAGTGCAGCTGATAAATCACAGGGTTAATATTCACAAAGTCATAAATTATTATCATTGAGTGGTTCTGGTAACATAGCAACAGGTGCATTTTTGGTGCCCTTGAGTCATTTATAGCTTTTTCTTTTATTTCCCTGTCCTCTGATTGTTTCTTGTTGCCTATTTTGTAAAGAGACCACCAATAAATTGAAGAAAGATCACCAGTAAGTAGGAAAGCTACAATATGATTCTCAATTTGACAAGTCAGTCTATGCTACAAGGTTGCTTTCCCTA